CACTAGCTGTCTATATAAGGTTTTGAAGAAGATGGTTAATTGTTTGTTTAATCGAATCAAACAATTTCCTCTCGCCTATCAAGTGTGGTTTCTCTATGTAATGCTCCACTGTGGGCTACTTGAGTTGACTTAAATCATCGATCATAAAAGCCTTCCTCAAGAAGTAGCATCTTCTATTGATCATGCAAAGGCTTCTTACCACACTACATGGAGGTTTGGCATATTACAGGACCTCCATTCTTATTGTTTAAGTAGCCATTTACCCATTTCTACTTGGATTTTTTTAAATTGATGGGTCATTCCAAGGCTGTGTAGGTTCAATATTGTCCCGACCCTTAACACAGGAACTTAGTACCTCAGGGTTGTGTCTCGATGTCACACTTCTCAGTATTAAGATCAATGCTATCACTGAATAGTTTCCTCCTACACTTGCAAAGTGCCTCTATGTAGACAAATTCCACATTTCTTGCCAATTGTTGAATATGAGGTTCCTTGAGTGTCAGTTTTAGACAGCTATCACTCCCTTATTGGGGTGGATCACAGTAAATAATTTCACTTTCCCCTCCTCTAAAACTATTTGCGTGCATTTTTGTCATAAGCAGGGATTTCACACTGATTCAGAGCTTTACCTCAGTAGTGATATTTTTTCTATGGTGGCTTCGACTCTGCATGGGGCTTTCTGCATTGGTCCAGAGTCTGTACAATGATTCCTATGAACCTCCTCTTCACCTCCAACATTTGCAACTTAATTTGCAATATGCTATCAAGCTTCGATCCTTACCACGGCATCCCACCTGGGGTTATGTCTTCCCTTCCTTCATATCCAGGTGCAGCTTGCTGAATTTGGTCTGTCACTAGATGATGTTGCTGAGTCCGATGATCAGTCCATCCCTCCATGGTTCATTACCACTCCCACCTATAACCTTTCTAACAGATACTCCCAATTATAAGTACCATCTTCTCTTTGCAAAACATCTTTCAAAACATTCTTCCATTCTCGTTTTTATGGTTCGAAAGCCAGTGACTGTGGTCTCTGCTATGTTTTGTTTGACTCGTTGGTTGCTCACCAGATCTTCTGTACAGTTTCTGTGTTCACTGTCGAGTTCTATGTCGTTTCTCTTGCCTTGGATCACATAGAAGCTAAGGAGTACGCTAACTGCACTATTTACACTGACTCTCTTAGCTCTTTACTGGCTCTAGAATTACTTAATGTGAGTTTTGCCCTGTTTTCTTGGACATTCAGAAATGACTGGCCCAATTTTCCCTGTCATCCATTTCTATCCAGTTTTTCTGAATATCTGGCTATGTCAGTATTGTTACGTTTCCGTTCGTTAGTTAATTTTCCGTAAATTCGTTCCGACGAAATTTTAGCGACACAAGTCCTTTCTTAAATAAAACGGGTTTATTCTTTCTGAATATAACTTT